ACACACACACACACGTTCACCTGCACCTACCGTACACACACACGTTCACCTGCACCTACCGTACACACACGTTCACCTGCACCTACCGTACACACACACACACGTTCACCTGCACCTACCGTACACACACACGTTCACCTGCACCTACCGTACACACACACACACACGTTCACCTGCACCTACCATACACACACACACACACGTTCACCTGCACCTACCGTGCACACACGTTCACCTGCACCTACTGTACACACACGTTCACCTACCATGCACACACCTACCCTCACATGTACACCTGCACCTGAGCACACACCGACCCTCACATGTTCACCTGCACCTACTGAGCACACACCTACCCTCACATGTTCACCTGCACACACCTACCTGCACACACATGTTCACCTGCATCAACCCTGTACACACCTACCCACATATGTTCACCTGCCCTGTACACTCCTACCAACACATTATCACTTGCACCTACCGTGCACTCCTACAAATATCTCCCACCCCCCACAACAGCTGGCAGCTCATTAAAACCCATTTCCAGCACATGCACCGTCATTGCACCCCCCCCCAAATCATCTACGTCCCCCGGCCCGGGCGGTGTCACCTGCGGGGCTCTGCATGATGCTGCCGCAGCTCCGGCCGGCGGAGGAGGAGTGCGGGGAGGAGAGGGCGGGGATGGGGGACATCAAGGAGAGGGGGCGGGGACACTGCGTCATCTTACTTTCACTTAAAGACACAGCACCAGCGATAGGCAGATCGTATAACAGATCGTATGGCACGGTGTGTGTGTGGATCGCTATGAAGCCGAGTGTAGAGCAGATTGGAAAGCTGACTCAGTACCGTTCTTTTGCTTCACACGCAATGTGCACAGTTTGGTCCCCACATTTCCATTTTTCTTTCCTTGTCTGGTGGGCACCATAGACAGAGCAGGGGTAGGCAATCCCTGCCCTCCAGCTGTGCTGTAACTACAAATCCCACCAGGCATGTGCCTCTGGGAGTTATGCCTGTAACTGTCTTGCAATGCCTCATGGGACTTGTAGTTCCTGCTGCAGTTGCCCACCCCTGCATTGGAGGGTGGTTTGCGTGTGCAGGCATGATCATCCTGTCCTCAGGGATCTCCCACAGCCAATAAATCCCTAAATATCATCAGTCCCTATATTCCCATTCTTCACCATATACCAGTGTCCTATAAACAGGGTCAGGCTGAGGGGCGCTTTAGCAGGAGGATGGGGGGCAAAAGGGGCATGACCTGCAACCTATCATGCTGATATAGTACTTCACAACCCATGGGGGCTTTTTGGCCTTGGGTGCAGAATGACCTTGTTCCTCAATTGGCGTCCAGGATTTTTCTGAACATCCATAGAATATGAGGTCACCACCCCATCATTCATAGTTTTGTGTGATGATGTGATGATGATGAGCACGCCAACATTTTGCCGGCGCTCAGGATTCAGATGACAACCCCACAGAACAGACATAGCAATAGAAACATTCACTGGTCCCCCAAGATGTCATTATGATGTCATAACCCTGCCCGATGTACAAATTTATTGCCCAAAAAAAAACAAAAACATTTTAGGGAAAAGTTCAAACTCATCAGTTTTTTTTGGCCATCTGAGTCTCATTGTAGATGATTCCTTCACTTCCTGTCCCACAGACACATCAGGAAATCTCTCCAAAGTGTCCCCATTTCAAGATTTCCTGTACATTTCTGTTCCAGTGCCAACTCATAATTTGGAATATCCCATCAGATAATGGCACTGGTCACCAGTAATGAGGAGATGGGGCTTGGTGCAAACCCCATGCAAAACTGTGACTGACACCTCCTTCCCAACCCAATCCGTTGTGGAAGGGGCATTGTCCGCGACGCAGCTACACATTACAAAGGGGAGGGGAATGCCCCTGCCGCAACTGATTGGGCTAGGTGGGGGGGGTTGATGGACAATGTTGTGCCCAATTTTCATCTTTCCATAAATGAACGGATCATTGAGGCTAGGTTCACACTTGGGGCGATCCGTGACTGTGCAGCAATCGTGCACAAAACCGCGTGGATTGCAGGGCGGTCACAGAGTCGCCCACCACAGCCGATCGCGCTGGCGGTGTCATCATTTTATAATGGCACCCCAGTCGTAGGGCGGATTGCACATGCAATTGAACACGATCACGGCTAAAAAAAAGCTGCGCGTCATGTGTCGCAAAAAAAGTACATGTACCCTTTTTCAGCGGATGTAACCCCATTGAAATAAATGGGGCCGTGCAGCAACCGCTGTGTGCAATAGCACAGGATCATGCGTCCCAGGTATCTCTCAGATCTGAACCTAGCCTGAAACACAGATCTTAGTCCAGGGGCGGGCAAACTCCAACTGTTGTGAAACTACAAATCCCATGAGGCATTGCAAGATTCTCACAGCCACAGGCATGATTCCCAGAGACAGATGCATGATGGGATTTGTATTTTCACCACAGCTGGAGGGCTGGAATTTGCCCACCCCTGTCCTAGTCAGAACCTAGCTCCACTCAATGGTCTTTCATTATATGTATATTATATACCGTTGTAATGTACCTCAATTTTGTATCCTAATGTTACTCAGATGTAAGAGGACAAGACGCATGTTGGTGATACCTCTTTATTGAAAACAACAATCATTGTAATGGTTGAGAGAATGAATCTTGCCAGTCAAGGACACAGACAGCCAAAAACCTGACAGGGGTGATAACCTTTCCCTACTGTATCCCCCCATAAAAGTGGAGTGTGGAGTCAGTTTATTTAGATGGACAGCTACAACCCTGTTGTTGGGTTGTCTTAGACTTGCATGGAAAACACGTACTGACATCGCTAAGGGAATCTGGGCCCTATGGCTCAGCATCAAGAAATGCTATTTTTATTTAGCACATCCCTAAAGGAAAAGACATGACTATTATAGTATGTGACAAACCCTGGGGGGGATGCAGCGTGAATACGCAGAATGATAAAATACATATTTATGATACTCACCAGGAGCTCCGACAATGGAAACCATGAACCTGCTGCTCCCGCAGGGGCTTATTCCAAAGTAGGATGGAAGGGATGCTCCTGGAAAAAAGCCGTGGTGTTACATGCAAGCTGCAACAAATTATAAATGTAAGAACCCATCTGATAAATTGTACTGCCAGTTTATACAAAACAAAGCTACAACCAAGACACAACGTATACATCTGTAAAATAAAACTTTACCTACATGTGCCTCTTCTTCCAGGATAGCAGACAAATGATGTCCTGTAAAATTTGGGGCCCTGTTGCAGCCCCGGAACCCTATCAATGTCCTATCACCGTAGCTCTCAGTCCATTAGCCATCACGCAGGTTGTATTTTCATCCACCACTAGCGCATCCTAAATATCACAAGTATACCTTCACAAAAAGAAAAAGAGGAGGTGAAGTTCCCACTGACTTGATATTATACAAAATGGTTGGTAATCTGTTCCTTACCTTTAAGTGGAACTAGAAATCAAAGTCCTTAGAGAGGAACGCTTACTTCAACGTGAGTCTCCAGGGTGCTCGCTTTATCTTCTTTTTGCAGCAGTGACTCTCTGCTGTCAAGAGCCGCAGAGTCCAGCTGGTTGGTACAGGGAGAAGATGGCAAACAAAATCTTTACAGTGTTACATCCATGGGCCTCTGGGTGCGCTTTCACTAACAATGCCCAAGTCGTTTCATTCAGTAAAAGCTTGGGAAGCTTCCAGGAAAAGAGTGGGGGTCATTGACACAAGCCATGCCTCCGGGACTTTATTTAGATATAGTTCCGCCCTGGGCACATCAGAATGATGGCACCCTTTTGTGCAAGCTCTTGTATAATGCAATTACATTAGTAAATACCAATGGGCAAATGCATCATTGGGGGTAAGTATGCTTTGTAACTACACAGACCAACAAATAAGAGAAAGCAGAGATATTTATATTTCTTTTGCTTCCTCTCAAGATCCCCTGAACTCTCTATTTTAGACTGTAAGCTCTCACAAGCACGAGCCTAACTCTTTGGTCTTGAATTGTTTTGTAACTGTGCTGTCTCCCTTTTTATTGTAAAGTGCTGCACATACTGTTGGCACTATATAAATCCTATATAATAATAATAATAATCGAAAGCCAAATCCCTTTTCTTTTTATAAAAGTTAAAAGCCCTGTTTTTTTGTAACTTTTATTGCTGTCTCATGATGTCACATCAAGGAAATGTCTCGTCACTTTCTGACCAGGAGACACAACAAGAAGTCTTGGGCTCATGTCATTGCTGGATTCCAAGTGAGAAGAATTCTCTGCAAAGTGAGGAGAAAGACCCTCTTAGAGAGAGAGTTGTCCCACCACGACATAAAGTTTTCTCCTCGCCTATTGTTCTGCGACAATTTTGGATATCCCATCACTTTCTTGGGGGATAGTGTTTAAAAGGAATGAATCCCACCAGTGCGAGAGAAAAAAACTCACATAGGTTTAGAAAAGATTACAACCTATCAAAATCAAATAAACATGTTCTGGTTTTACTTATCTACACCCTCCTATCCCTTACAGCCAAGGAAGGTGCCAACTTAGCCTATATTTGGATTGAAGTTGCCATAGTGCTACGCATCAGCTATGACACCAGCCGTTTGAGGGAAAGTTTGGTTGAGAGCTGACATAAGCACACTGGCAACCTTGGTATACAGTTGGCATACCTTAAAATGATTTGGGAAACCTTAAAGTGACATTAAAGTCACATTCTCCACTCCAATGTTGCTTTGCGGACTTACCTTAAATGAGGCCTCTTGATCCAATCATCTTCTTCCTTTCTGTAGTTTTCAGGAGTCCCTCTAGAGCTGGTGCCGGTCTCTGATGCAAAGCCGACTGCTGTGTCTCCCTGTCCTGCGGAGTCTGTGCGCGTGCACGCTGCCGGGCTGATTGCTGACTTACCCTGAGTCTCTTCTCTCCTCCCCCGGCCGAAGATCTCTACTGTGCATGCGCCCACCCCATGATCCTTCACAGCCGTTCGAGGATCTTCAGATCTTCACACGCGAGCGAGCGGTGGAGACTCAGGTAAGTAATAGCCTGTTTGGTAACTTTTTTTAATGTTTTTGCATATATGTCTACTGCTTTCTAGCAATACATATATGCAAAAAAAAAGAAGGTTTATACTTTAAATTGGTAAGTAAAGTTCTGGGAACAGGTCATTTTTACAGGCGTGCATGTCATATGGACGTGCCTGCCTGTCTGAATGAGCCCTTAAAGACACCAGAAGTAGCCAAAAGAGGGAATATTAGTACAAAAATGATCACAGGTTGTACATTCTGAAGCTTGGTGCTGCCCGGTAACACTGCTGCCCTAGGCAATGGCCCATGAAGTTTCTGCTGTTTTGCTGATACTCGCTCCAAGGCTCCGAGCGCCAACAATCATCCCACGTTCAAACAGCTGTCATTCTCTGAATCCTAAGCTATGGCTTGTTTATGGATCAGTGGATCAGTGACACCACTGATAGTGAAACGAAATGCCCTCAAATTTGTGGAAACTCGGCAGTAGGAAAATGCGTGCTACCATCTGAAGCTTTGCGCACAGGTATTTTTTTAATGACAGTAAACCCAATAGTCCCCTTGCTGTCCACTATTTGAGTCAAATGCCAAAATGTACACTGAATCCAAAAGCAAAAACATTTTGTATTGCAGCTTAGCAGTCCTTAGACATGATGGCTGCATTAATTGTCAGGCTGCTCTCCTGATTTGGACTACTAACAACTCCCTTCCTCTCCACATCTCAATTACATGGAGGGGAGTTCACAAACTATACCTGGAATAGCTGATAGCATAGTTTGGGATTTGAGTTCAGTGTGCAGGAAGTTAAAAAGACACTTGACTTTAAGCAAAAAGACAATGCCAATAAGCATTTTTCTGTACTTGTGGAAAATATTCTGATCCTGAAAACTAATGTAGCCACCAAATCTAAGGACCTAAAGGGCGTTCTTGGGTTTAGATTTACCTCAAATTCTTCAACATCTCATACACAATATAAAATCCTGTTGTGTCATTACCTCAAGTGCACCCTATTTCACTGTATGTGATTCCTGTACTGAATTTCCTGAGAATCTCATGTGCTCTGGTGTGGCTTTTAGAATCGATAATCCTTACATTTAGGTCAGTTTCTGCTCCGTTCTCTGCAGGATCATCACAGCTCTATCTGTTTAAGTGGAGCACCAGTGTGACCCTGAACGACTTTTTATTCAAACACGCTTTCAAGAAAAATTTACTAGCGAATTCATTGTTTTTATATCTGACAAAACAAAATTGTTATTACTTTGGAAATTCAT